AAAAAACTAGTTTCGAGAAAAATGCAAAATAAAATAAACTTCAAGAAAAATTTTCTTTTTCCGTTTATACGTGAGTGTTTTTGCTAATTTTGTGGTACAAAGGGTAGTTTGGGATGGGGAATCCGAATCTGAGGTCAGTTTTTATTAATTAATTGATTAATTAATTAACTAATTATTAATTAACCGTTAATTAGTGCAGCCAATTTTTTATAAGATTGTAAAAGGTGTATTCGAGGATGGAGAATCCGAATCTGATGTCAGATTTAATTAATTAATTAGCTGATTACGATTAATTAACGTATTTTCTGGAAAAACTGAACTAACTCTGATTAGAATGTAGAACGGGAATCTAATGTTAATTCTGATTAATTAATTATTATTTATCAGTTGATTATGAGAAGGCGCCGAAGATCCCCTTAAAATATATTCGCAAATAGTCATTGATGAAGCATTTTTAGAAATAAAGTCGCAAAAAAATAACAAAAAAATTTTTCGTCACATATGTTGGCAAAACTCTGGTTTTTCAGAGACTTCCCGACCTTGGATGGCTCTAGTTTTTATAGTATAGTTATACTACATCATAATATGACTTTTTTATCAAAAAAGAAAAAAAAAATTTTTTTTGTCACATGTCTTCGAAAAGCCCGATTTTTGAGAGACTTCCCGGCCTTTGAGGGTTCTGATTTTTATAGCACACCTAAAGCGGACCTTGATATACCTTTATATGAAAAAAAAAGAAAAATCGAAAAAAAAAAATTTTTGGCTTGGGAAAGGGGGGGGGTCCCCTTAAGATTTTCTAAATCGATTTCTTCATCATCTTCTGATGTTTCACTTTCACGATCTTCCGTTTCCGAGCCACTTTCTTGGCTATCACAACCGTCGCTATCACTTTCATATTCAGTCGAACTGTCCATAATCGTTGTTATGATAATGCGATCAGTTGAATATAAATTATATGAGGAAAAAATTTTCAATCTAAAAATCACAAGTAAATGAAAAAACACTAGATGGCTGGCAATTAGCTGAAGCAGTAATTTTTGTAAATAAAGTTGTATATAAAAAGAAATAATCTCATTTATCACTTTTGCACACTGTCAATATAAAATCTTAACCTCAGTATTGAAAAAGTAGAGAATAAGAAAGAAAGACAGATTATACCATTGATGTATCACGGTGAATCATCTATCGTGATGATTGGATAGTTCGAAGCCACTCAAAAAATATGGTTTTAATGGTTCGAAAGTACATATCCACTTAAATTAATCGAATGGGTCATTGGATTATACATTGTAAGTCCTACTGTTTCTCCTTTCTGGTTATATGTCGTTGTTTACTGGAAGCACGATCTTGTATCAAAAACGTGTAATGATATGAAAACAAATACAATTCTGTTTAGATCCAAAAACATATATGTATTGATATTAGATGGCAGTAGTTCTAAAAATCGAGAAAAAACAAAATATTTCTACTGTATTTTTCAATTTTTGAGCTGGGGTCAAAAATGACCCCCGCTGGTAGTACTAGGGTTAATATAATATTATTGTGTTATTTCTTATATTTATCAGCTGTCACTTTCTTTTCATTCTGAAGTGAAACTTTATTACTTGGTCTTTGCTCTTATTTTTCATATTCTGTTTTTTTTAGTTTTGAAAGTAGTATATAAGGGACGAAGAAAATTAGTAGAGGTACGATTGCTTATTTTGAAATAAAAGTATACACTCTTATTCACAAATATCGTCATACTTGATTGGAAATCGTCTCATACGATCGCCAACAATTCGCATTTTCACTGGATCAAAGTTTTTCTCACACAAAGCATATTCTAGACTTGAAATATGATACATGACTTATAAAAAGTCAATCGAATAAGAAAAGAAGTGACTATTATAATAGTCTATTTCTTTTTTGACCGAAGATAATAACAGTGACAGAAAAAAGAATACGAGCACATGGAAAAAAAGGAACGATATATTATCCTATTAAGGTTATTCTAGATACTTATATCTGTTGATAGATTCAAATAGTTCATTATAGAACAATAAATGGAAATATTAATATACGTTAAACAATTTTTTTCGTAGAACACCAGTACATCAGGTTTATATATGTGAAAAGAGAAATATCACACATTAAACTTCAATATATTCATGTAGGATATGAGAGGATGTTTTTTGTATAGAGATGATAGAATATATAAATGACTATTATAGTTACTGAGAAACGGATAACACTTATTTCTAAGATGGAATAGGATATTTTCATTGATAGGACACTGTGATCGAAAAATAGGCCAAAATGATTTCTGATGAATTCGATACATAATTTTCGACTTTTTTTCACGATCGCGATATTTCTTCCAATGTGAAATCACAGTGGTTTTATATGTATTGAAAAGCTCTATCGAATAGATGAAACGAGAAAAAGTGTCCATTCCAATTTCTTAGACAAAAAACGTTGGAAAAGATGAAGGTTTATTCGAGATACTATAGCCGA